TAAATGCCTACCGACAGGTGAACATACCACAGTGTGTCCGTTCAATGGAATATTATTCAGCAATAAAAATGAACGGGTAACCGCATGAATCTCAAAAATTACACTGAGCGAAAAAAGTCAGGCACAAATGACTACATGTTTATGCTTCTATTCAAGTAAAATTCTAGGAAATGCAATTCTGTTGTGACAAAAAACATCAGTAGTTGCCTGAAGCCAGGGACAGAGAAGGGATGAATTGGAAGAGGAACTTTCAGGGGTGATATAAAGTTTTGTATGTTGATGGCGGCAGTTGTTTCATGGGGTATATACACCTATGGAAATTTAAATTGTGAGGCCAGCCAGTTGGCATAGTAGTTAAGGTAGCTGGATCCCACATGTGTAACTACATGGTTCGAGTCCCAGACCTTGTGGCTCAAAAAGCACACCAGGCACGTGGGCATGAGTGTCCAGAATTCCAAGAGGAATATGGAGGAGGGATTGTGGTGTGGCCATCCTCCCCGGGAGGGGGCTCTCTCATTTTCTCTCTCTCTCTCAGAAACACATGTGCCCTGTGGCAATTTTTTTTTTTTTTAGAAAAGGTAAAGTTCATTTTATAATATTTTATACAAATCTCAATAGATTAAAAAACATTCCTAGAGATTTGTTTCTGAGAATTAAATGAGACAAAATGTAGAACACTCGGCCCAGTAGCTGGCATATGGTCAGTGTAGGCAAGAAATAAGGACGGCAGTGATGCTGGCAGGCACTGAAGTACAAGAGCAGCATAATCTCTTGGGAGTCAGAAAGACCAGAAGTTCTCTTTGAGTCTTGCTATTTTGTACAGTCTCTAAGCTTCAATTTCTTTTTTTAAAAAGAAATTCTCTTTCTTCTGTGAGAGAGTGGGAAATAGAGACAGAATGACTGGCACTCCTTCTACAGGGTCTTCATGCCATGATCCGCTCCCCATCTCAGCCAGTCGAGATCATGGGCATGTGCACATGCACCAGGTATGTAGAGTGAAGTCCCAGGATGAGAACCCAGGACCTTCTTATGTGGGTCCAGTTGCATTACTGCTGTCCTATCACCTGACCGATAGTGTGGCCAGGAGTCACCATCATGGAGCTGCCAGTTTAGCAGTGGCAGAAGCCATCCCATGTATGGGCTGGGGAAAACAGACTTTGAGAAAAGAAATGCGAGCTACTGGCCAGCAGGTGGAGTGGTAGTTAAGGTGCCGGATCCCACATGGCCACCTCCACAGTTTGAGTCCAGGACCCAGTGGCTTGAAAAAATATACTGGGGGGGGGGGGCTGGCAAGTAGCCTAGTGGTTAAGGGCACTGAACTCCCACATTGCTGACCACAGCTCAAGTCCCACACCAGACGGCTTGCTTTCTCACTTTCCTTTTCTCTCTCTCTCTCACTCTGTCCCTCTCTGGTCAAATTAAAATAAGTAAAAGAAAAAAAGCTAAAATAAAATAACTCTCTTAAAAAAATACACATATACTGGGTACATGTGTGTACATACCTGAAATCCCAAGAGGAGAATGAAAGAGAAGGGATTAAAACATGGCCATTCCCCCAAGGAGGGATTTCTCACTATCCCTCACTCTGTCTCTTTTGTCTCTCTGTCTCTTTCCAATGAGCACACTTACCCTGTGGCAAAAACTAAAAAAAAAAAAAAAAGTGAGATATTTTATTTAATAAGGTCATTGGGAATTATTAGTTGGTGGAAAAAATCTAGAAGCTAAAAGGAGTTAGTTTAGGAGTAGCACTAAGAAGATCTAAAAAAAAAAAAAAAAAAAAAAAAGAAATGTATTTGTCAATAAAAGACACAAAAAAGCAGGGAAAAGAGAAGACTCCTGTTCCCTCCTGTTCCTCCCAGCCTTCAGTCCCGGCGTCGGAGGTGCTACAAGGTTGTCAAACTTTAGCATGTCAAATACTCATCTAGGGAACTTATTTAAATCAGTACAGATTTCTGGGCCCATGCTCCAGTTTCTGATTTGTGCATTAACCACCATCCCAGAATATTTAATAAATGTCCTGTTTGACCTCACCCCAAAGTTGTGATCACCAGATAATCGCCCAAGTGTTACACATTTAATTCTCTTTTTATGTACAGTTACATACAAAAATGCTGAAGGCAGCTTTGGGACTCCATTCCCAGCCATGAGAGAGTAGCCAGTATTAGACCTGTTCTCCAGTTGTAAAAAAACAAAAAACTGGAGGGGGTTCCCCAAACTATGACAACACTCTTTTCAAATTTTAGACAACAGGTGGTAGAAGACTTCAATTCCCAAGGGAAAGGAAACAGATGAAGTAAGCCCTATGCCCACCCTGGCTTTCTGTACAGAGAGACTTCCTAGTCTCTGGTATAGCAAAGAGGAACCCTAAAAAGCATAAAGGTTTCACTGACTTGAGGAAAGAGACTGAAGTTTAGGGGAGCTTAGGGACTGGGGAGCTGTGCAGAGGCAGGGCCTGAGAAATCTATAGACCGACTGAATGCTGAGCTGTGCCTTTGCAGGGTACAGCTCTAGAAGGCCAGGCAGAGAATTACAACTGGGAAGGTGTGAGCTGAACAATCCCCAGAGCTTATACAAATTTGGAAGAGGCTTGGCTCCACCAGCCAGGGTAGAGAGACTGTTAATCGACCAAATTAGCTTTAAAACCATTCTCAAAATGATCAAGTTGATCAACGAATTATATTAACTTCCTACCAAAACAAATATTTATCAATCTTTAAAGGAAAACAAGACCTAGAAACTCAATATAACATTCACAATGTGTAGTATCTAATAATAAAAACTGCTAACCATGTGAAGAGACTGAAAAATAGGACTTTTTGTTTGTTTGCTACCAGGGTGCGTGAGCTTCCTAGAGAGAGAGAGAGGGAAAAGTGAGAAAGCAACCTCCTAAGGAGGTGGCTATGCTGCAATCCCTTCTCCATTCTCCCCTCAGGATTTTGGACATGCACACGTGTGCAGTCAGTTTCTTAAGCCACCAGGTCCAGGACTTGAACAACTCAGTCGGCCAAATGGGATTCAGCCGCCTTAACCACCATGCCACCAGCTGGCCCAGAAAAATACAATTTGCAACCAGAAAAAAAATAATCAAAAGAAACAGATCTAGAAAAGATGAGATGCTAGAATTAGAAGCAAAAGAATTTGAAAGCAGCTACTATAAATGATAAAGGAAAACATAAACAGAACAAGGAGAAAAGTAGAAGATAACTTCAAAAAGAAACAAGTTGAGCTTCTAAAGCTGAAAAACACAGTATCTGAAATAGCCAATTCACCAGATGGGCTTAACAGCAGACTGGCCATTGTATTAACAGAAGGAAAGACCAATTGCATAGCAATAGAAACGTCCCAAATAGAAGCACTGAGGAAAAAAAGAGACGAAACAACAAAACCATCAGGTCTCAGAGACCTCCGTGGACATACATATCTGCAAATGGAAATGCCGAGGGAGTGAGAAGGAAGAAGTGTCTTGAAAGAAACAATGGTTAATTTTTTCTGCATTTGAAGAAAACTCACTCAAGCTCAAGAAGTTTAAATAGAATACACACACACACACACACAAACTCACACCTAGGTACATCATAATCACACTGCTGAAAATAACTGGTAAAGAAAAGATACATTAAAAGCAGCTGGGGTAGGGGGCGGAGATACATTACACACCAGAGAACAAAGACAAGAATGACTACCTACTTCTTATCAGAAACAATGCAGGCTAGGGATAATCAGGTTAAGGCACTGGACTACCACATTGCTGCCTGTGGTTCGAGTCCTGGACCTGGCAGCTTGAAAATCACACCGGGTATATATGCATGCTTGCCGATAATCCCGAGACGAAAATGGAAGAGAAGGAATTAAGACACAGCCATTCCCCTGGAGGGAGTGATATCTCACTTTTCCTCTCACGATATCTCTTTGTCTCTCTCTCTGGAGAGCACATGTGCTCTATGTCAAAAACCTTTAAAAAAAAATGAGAAAGAAACAATGCAGGCCAAAAGGCAATGAAATAAATATTTAAAGAACTTAAGAAAATGAATTGTCAACTTTGAATTCTGTATCTGGTAAAAAAGTATAGACATTTTTAGACAGACAAGGCAAAGGAAATTTTTGCCAGAGGACTTGCTCTACAAAGACTAATAAATAAAGTCCTTTAGGCTGAAGGAAACTGATACCAGAGAGAAAGCAGGATCTACACAAAGGAATATGAAGGGTGAAAACAGTAAGTATGTGGGTTAAAAATAAAGGGCTTTAGTAATTTACATATAAATAGAAACACCCCTTCAGTAGGTTTCTTTTTAAAGATATACACCAACGTCATCTTTCTTTTGAGTTGAACATAGGCTTCCACTGTGCCATGGCTGGTAACCTTTTCAGTCCTCATTTATATACTCAGACATTAACTAACTATTACCCATCATGCCCTGGAGATGCAAAGATAAATAAGGTCATCAAGGAAAAGCAAACCAACCAAGAGGTAATGCATGATATATCCTAACTACTCATACCCTGGCTCTAGTCACTGAGTAGCTCTGTGACATTGGACAACTAACTTGACCTCTCTGAGCCTCAGTTTCTGCAACTATAAAATGGGGATAATAACAGTATTATCTCTTAGGGTTGTGGTGAGAAGAAGTGCTTTAATGTATGTAATAATAATACCTAATAAATATTAGCTATTGTTATGACAGTGAAGGATTGCAGAGGAGGTTGTGGGAGTAGAGAGAGAGAGAAAGTCTGAGTCAGAGAGGAAGTGGCATGGGAAGAGAAAACATTTTGCAGCTGAGTTCTGAGGGATAAGCAGGTTACTGAGTACAGAAAGAGGAAAAGCCACTGAGAGGCAGCAGCCCTGAGCAATGCACCGCAATGTGTGTGTCAGTGTGATGAGACCGCCGCGAGCATCTTCAGAAAGCTGCCGCCAACGGTGCCTTAGCTGCAGCCCAAGAACTGCTCCGGGGTTTCTGGGGCCTCTCTGAATGCCCTTTTGACTTCTTCCAAGGGCATCTTACCTCCCCCGTCATCTGATCCATCCAGGCTCTGCTGTCTGAGGCGATGACTGCTCCCCAAAAGAAAAGAAAGAAAGAAAGAAAAAGAACAGAAAATGAGTTTCAGATGCAGAAAAGAACAGTCCCAATTTTTATTGTATCAATTTTTTTCCTCCTACATGAAAATGTCCCTGTACCCACCTTTCTCTGTTAATGTGGTAAAAATCCAATTAGGCACAGGGTCTGTGGCGTATGGGTGCACAGCTTATAGTATGCTGCTGAACAGGACAGCAACAGACACGAATGCTTCTCCCATCCCCAGAGGTGTGCAACGGATTAGCCCTGCCTGTACTGTAACCTTTACCTGGAAATCTTCCCTCCTGTTTATTTTATTTTTCATTTCTTATTCTTTATTCATGATAGACAGCTTACATGACAGAGACAGAGAGAAGCACCCTCGGGTCTGGTCATGCCATGGTGCCTCCTTCCAGTCCTGCAGCCTGTCAGACTTTGAACACAGGGGCGATGCTTCACGCTGAGCAGGCAGGGGACTTGAACTGCAGCTGCCATGTGGGATTTGGCTTCTCTTGAGCAGTGTATTATTGCTGCACCAAGAGCCAGTCTAACACCTATCTCTCCTTCTTCCCTCCCTCCACACCTTCCTCCCTCCTTCTTTTGGAGGCTCACCTCAGAAAGCTGATACTGCTTCTGCCCACCCAGATCAATAAAGAAAAGGCATGGGTCAGCATCCTGAAGCCGGGAGCTTAATTCCAAAATCACGTGGTGGCAGATAGGACTTGGGCCTCGATAACGGAGTTCAGAGCCTCGGGTAAGGAAGTGCATTAACCTAACCTTTAGTTCTGCATGCATAATTCCAGCCTCAGACCACAGCCAGATTCATGCTTAGTTTTTAACGTGTATTCAGCGTAGACTGAACAGATGACCACCCAGATTGCTATTGACAAAGGTCACCATAGATACCATAAAAATACAGGAAACATACTCTTCTATTTCTTCAGAAGCCTTCTTTCCTAACCTGAAAAAAAAAAAAAGATAAGGGTTAAAAAAACCACGAAGACTCATGCTTTGATATAGTGTCTTGGGAAAAAGATTCCAAAAGTGTACATCCTAAGCACTTTGTCGGTTCCTCTTCGTATACCAAGCCCTGTTAGCAGCAGGAGAGAATTGCAGACACTGTAGTACCTTACAGTCTTATTTCAGAGTAACCCTGAATTAAATGATTAAGTTTAAGGGCAGGTTGAGCAAGAAGTTTAATGCCTAAATGGAGGGGCCAGTAGGTCGGCATGGTAGTTAAGACACTGGATTCCCACATGGCCAACCATGGTTCAAGTCCCAGATGCAGAAACTTGAAAATCATGCCGTGTGTGTGTGTGTGTGTGTGTGTGTGTGTGTGTGTGCCCAATCCTAAGAGGAGAATGAGTCAGCCCTGCCTTTACAGCCGTCTTTATCTGGAAATCACTCCTTCCTTCCCCCCCCCAAATTTCTTCTTCTTTATTCATGATAGAAAGCATGAACGAGAGAAAGAAAGAGTGAGGCACCCTCGGGTCTGGTCATGCCATGGTGCCTCCTTCCAGCCCTCTACCCCTGCGAGGTGATTCTCACTGTCTCTCTGTTTCTCTCCACGTGCCCTATGGCAAAACACTGGAGGGAGGGGACAGGGGAGAACTCAAATGGACATAGAGGACGTGGTGCCCTCCTTTCTTTCAACAATTAACTGACCAATTAACAGAGACCTTTTTAAAAAGAATTATTTTATTGAACTTCATTTTAATTCGACCAGAGAGAGAACTGCAGTCCCTTGGGAGTCCAGCGCCCTTAATCACACTACCTGCAGGCCCCACAGAGCACTTTCTTAGGGCTGAGGCCCTGGGCTTTATCTGGCACAGCTGGGTGCATGCATAGCTTCCCAGGAACAAAAAGAGATGCACTGGCCAGGCGGTTCAGGCTACAGGTTCAAGAACTGCTACTTAAAAAAAAAAAAATTTTAAGAGGTTTTCCCTGCGTGCGCTAACCAGGCAGAGAGAGAGAGACAGAGAGACAGAGAGACAGAAAGCGAGAAATCACCCCCCAGGGGGGTATGGCCACACCACAATCCCTTCTCCTCCATTCTCCTCTCGGGATCTTGGGCACGCACGCACACATGCCCGGCGTGAGTTTTAAGCCACCGGGTCCGGGACATGAACCATGGTCGACTACGTGGGAGTCCAGTGACATAGCCATTACACTAACTGCTGGTCCCTACTTTTAAATTTTTTAAAAAAATGTTAAGGGCTGACAGGGGGCCTGGTGGTCAGGGGTGCTGGACTCCCACATGGCTGACCTGGCGGGCTTGCTTTCTAGTTTTCCCTCTCTTCCTCTCTCTCTCTCTTGCTCTCGCTCTGTCCCTCTCTGGTCAAATTAAAATAAATAGATAAATAAAGTTAAATAAAATAATTCTTTAAAAAATTTTTTTTAAAAAATGGGTGATGGTAGGGAGGGGAAAAAAGCAGCAAAATCATTTAGTGAACACAAAAATGGAAAGTTATCTCATTATTTTTTACTTTTTTTTTTTTTGGAGAGGTTTTTTGCTATAGGGCGCATGTGCTTGCCAGACAGACAGAGACAGAGAGATAGAAAGCAAGAAATCACCCCCCAGGGGGGATAGCCATGCCGCAATCCCTTCTCCTCCATTCTCCTCTCGGGATCTTGGGCATGCACGCACACGCACCCGGCGTGAGTTTTAAGCCAGCGGGTCCAGGACGCGAACAGCAGTCGACTACATGGGAGTCCAGCGACATAGCCATTACACTAACTGCTGGTCCCGAAAGTTATCTCATTATGATAATGTATATGGTAGTATCTTTGATTGCACTGATACACAATGTATTCATGATGGGAAAATTCATTTTGTATTCTATAAAGATGTACAGTGATTAAATGCAAAATAAATAAATAACCATCAAAATGTCAAAAAATGTAATATGCAATGTTAACTAGTAAACTTGTAATAATTGCATGGGTAAACTGTACTTTTGATATTTAAAAATAAAAAATTTTTAGAGACCAGCAGGTGGTGTGGTGGGTGGTTAAGGGCATTAGACTTCCAACTGCAGTTCGAGTCCTGGACCTGGCAGCGTGCTTTCTCACTCTCTCTCTCTCTGTCCCTCGTTAGTCAAATTAAAATGAATGAATGAATAAATAAATAAATAAATAACTTTTATGGAGTTTGCACAAGAAATTTTTTTTTTTTTTTTTTTTTTGCTTGCAAGATGTGTATGCTCACTAGAAAGGGAGACAGAGAGAGGCAGGTAGAAGGAGGAGGAAGTACTCCCTAACAGTGTGTGGTCACACTACAATCCTTTCTCTTCCATTTCCTTTCTGTTGGGTTTTGAGGCACACGTGCGTTCATGCGCATACACACATACATACACACACACACACACACACACACACACACTCTCAGAGGCATGCCTGGCATGTCTACGCAGTTGGCCGTATGGGAGTCAGCTCCCTTAACCACTAGACCACACGGTTGGCCCCAGGCTCAGGAACTGTTCTGTGTCCTCCACATGCAGAGCCAGGAGACTCTGTGAGTGACGTTGGGTGAGATGTGCCCCGGAAGACATTCCATGAGAACAGGAGGCCTGGCTGACACACATGCATATAAGGAAGGCCTGGGCCTCCCACTTTGGTGTGCAGTGTGTGCAGACCATCTGGGAGGCCTGTAAGATATGCAGATTACTGGGCCTGGAGGTGAGAGATTCCTGCATCAGCTGGTCTGGGGTTGGGGATATCCAGGAATATGCATTTTACACCCATCTCCAACTCGTTCTAATCTAAAGAGGGCGCTATGGACACAGGGAGAAGCACTGATCCAAAGCCTCTGTGTAAGATTGGCGAAACAATGAGGATGGCTAAATTTGGGTGCTAGGTATATGGTGATTACATTTCTGCATGTCTGAACATTTCCAAAATTATAGAGTTATTTTGTTTTTGTTTTTAATTTGCTATAGGGTGCACTCACCCGAGAGAGACAGAGGGAGAAGGACAGAGGGAAAGTGAGAAAACATCCCCATGGGGGGTGGCCATGCTGTAATCCCTTCTCCAAGTAGGATCCAGCCACCTTAAATACCACACCACTGGACGGCCTGAGGTATTTTTTGTTTGTTAATTTTAAAATTACTATTATTTGTTTTACTGAGATAGTTTTGCTATAGAGCACATGCATTTGCTGGAGAGACAGAGAGAAACAGAGAGACAGAAAGCAAGAAATCACCTCCCAGGGAAATGGCCATGCTGCAATCCCTTCTCTTCCATTCTCTTCTTGGGATTTTGGGCACTCACACCTGGCGTGAGTTTCAAGCAGCTGGGCCTGGGACTCGAACCATAATTGACTATGTGGGAGTCCAGCGACATAACCATCATGCCATCTGCTGGCCCTTTAATGATTTTTTAAAGTAAGAAATCTAGCACTATGATGAGCAGGGTCAGAGGGAGACGGCAATGCCATAAAGGCCTGGAGACAGGATGCATGAGACGGAAGGACCTTGACAGTATGGGCCCCCAAGCCTTGCCAGTAAGGCAAGGAGCATAGGCGCCAAGCAGCGATCCTTCAAGAGGCAAAGTATAATCCTAAATTAACTTGTTGTCAATTTAAAAAATAAAAACAAATAAAGCCCAAGTTTAAACAGATTGCTTTCTATAACATTTATACTGGTTTTAGTTACTCGGTCAGCCATGGTTTGACTACAGTACAGTAAGATAATTTGAGAGAAAGTGACCCTATCACTCATATAACTTTTATTACAACAGAGTTGTTACAACGGTTCTATTTTAGTATTAGTTACTGTTAAATTCTTACTGTGCCTAATTTATAAATTAGGCCTTATCACAGGTATGTACACACAGGAAAAAAATACAATACAGAAAGGGTTCAGTAGTACCTGTAACCACTAGGGGTCTTGGAAAATATCTCCCATAGAAAAGAAGGGACAACTGTACATGAACTGCATTTTTTTTTTAAAGGTTTTTGACATAGGGCGCATGGGCTTGCTGGAGAGAGGGAGAGAGAGAGAGAGAGAGAGAGAGAGAGAAAGAGACAGTGAGAGGGAAAGTGAGAAATCACGCCCAAGGGGGGGTGGCCACACTACAGTCTCTTCTCTTCCATTCTCCTCAGATTTTGGGCATGCGTGTGTACGCACCAGGCATGATTTTCAAGCTGCTAGGTCTAGGACTAGCAGTGGCCACGTGGGAATCCAGCACCTTAACCACTAGGCCACCTGCTGGCCCCATCAACTGTAACATTAAAAAAAAGGAAGAAGGATGAATGGAGTCAGGAAGGAGAAGAGAATGGGTAGACAGAGTTGGAAGAATAGGGTGTAATCACTCTGGAGGATCTCCCAGGCTACAGCTGTTGACTCTTAAGAGTGGAGTGAGGAGACTGAGCCTAGGAGTAGCAGAGCAGGTGGGACAGAAGGGAGTGGACAAAGACCACAGGCAAACGGCAACAGGAGGCCCAGGGCATCACCACCTGGTGTTGCCGGATGACACAGGTGTCAATGTCTGTTCTAAGTCAAAGGAGTATGAAATGATGAGTCCGAAATGACTCAATGGCTGCCAAAGCCACCTCCTGTTTGCATGGGAGGACAGAGGGCTCTTTCTCCAGTTCATGCCATTCCCTAGGACCCTACTTCTCATTGTCCTCACGAAGTTAAGCCCTACACACCCACTGTCCGAATGACTTCACTAATATATCACCAGGGGTAGAGATGCTTGGATGGAAACAGGGATGAAGGAGGCCAGGGAGACTGGGTCAGGCCTTGTCCTGCACATAGGAGGCACGCTCATCTGATTACCCTCCTGGGTGATGACCAAATCCTTCCCCTCCTAAGCAATGTGCATGGCAAAAGCAGAGGTGATTTTGTCTGAAGGACGCAATCAGGAGAATGCTAATCTTTGGGGGGAGGCTGGTTAATTGCTATTTATCCACTCAACATCCAAAACCAGGAGGAGTTTAATATTCAACTTAATTGCTGC